AAAAAAAAAAAAAAAAAAAAAAATGCCAAAGTGAACAGTAAACAACAGCCTCGGATGAGAGGGAAAGTCGTTTCTCAACGAACAAAGACTAAAATCACTTATCATCCCTGTCCTGTCTATAGCGTGCAGAGCCATGGACGAACTAACATCTGATGAGTCAACGTTACGAGTTTTCGAGAGAAAGATTCTGCGGAAGATTTATGGTCCTTAGCTCATTGGCAATGGCAAATATCGATGGAATGATGAGCTGTTCGAGATGTACGGTGACATTGATATAGTTCAACGAATCAAGAGACAGCGGCTGCACTGGCTAGATGTCGTTTCGCCGGAGTTTAGCGACCATAGTTAAGAGTTTTGTAAGCTTCTGCTTGTTTGCCCTGGAGTGTTCGAAAACATATTTTGTAATAAATTAGATGTTTTAGCAAAGAGTTCTGAAATTTATTTAAGTTATTGAGAAACTCGATCCTTTGTGGTAAGGTGCTCATTTACTTCCTGTGGCTCCCTTTTTAGCTCGAAAAGAAACGTACATATGAAAAATATATTTAAAAAAATTTAAATTTGTTACAAAGTTACAAATTTAAAATGTTTTTAATATGTAAAAAAATGTTCAATAGTCAAAATAAAAATTGTATAATTTTCTTAACATGTTTGAAAAATTTAAATTTTTAATAAAAAAGGAAATTTTGTATACAAATGTTTAATGTACAGGTGGATTTACATGTGGTTCGTGTCTTTACTGTACAAATCTCTAAATTATTGGAAAGGCTTATCAACAAGCAAATATGTCTGTATGTACTTGTATATATTGTATTTACAATACCAAATGAAGGTTAGTTACAGTAAACTCCCAATACATGTATATATAGCGCCTAAGTAAAGAAACGGGGTGAGCAAACTCTAGTTTTCTTTGTGGTTTTCCAAAATCAAAATATATTACAAATCAATCATTTATTAGCCACAACGGCGATTAAGCTGATATATATGTATGTATATGGCGAATATTAACTGTAAATTGTTGTGTACAAGAGTATTCAAATATCAATATACAAATGAACGGGTGATGTTGTTGGTGGTTTAGTGTTGGGCAGTCCATAAACATTGGCAAATCTTTACGAAAAATGCACAAAAAGCCAGAAAGCCGGATAGTAAGACAGAGGCGAAAGGGAAACACAACAGACGCGCCTCCAAAGCCATATTTTATATGTATGTGAAGACATTTGTATACGTGTTTGTTATTTCTTTGTGTTGTTTTGTTTTTGTAAACGCCTACGAAAGGCTTGTGGGCGGTTGGCAACATTGATATATCATTATTGAAGTATTATATGCCTAACTGATATAATAACAGTATATTTGTATATTATGTATATATTAGTAGCTTGTTTGTGTTTACTTTGGGAATTGTTGTTAGTATATAGAGTAGTGGTTAGGAAAAGTATATAATTTGATAGTTTATATATATAGTATATAGTCGTTAGAGCAGGTTGAGAGTAGTAGTAGTGGTAATAGCTGTCTCTTATACACATCTAGATGTGTATAAGAGACAGGTATATAGAGTAGTGGTTAGGAAAAGTATATAATTTGATAGTTTATATATATAGTATATAGTCGTTAGAGCAGGTTGAGAGTAGTAGTAGTGGTAATAGAAGTAGTTGTGGTAGTGGTAGTAGAAACACATAGTAGTTGTAGTTGTAGTGGTAGGCAACCAAAGTTGGTAAAAAGAAACGCAAAACGCACATCAGCTCAGGAACTCAGTAAAAAGTCTCCATTAGCGCTAATTGCAACAAAAAATTTGTGTTGTAACATTACGCTGTTACAAAGTTTTGAAAAAAAAAACATTTAACTCTAAATAGCTGATTCTTAGAGAGTTTTTTTTTACAAAGCAGCGCTAGTGAAAATTAAGATTTGTAAGTCTATGGCATACTATAACTGTATAAACGAATGCAAAGTAGCTGTTGAATGCTGTTTACAGTGCAACACCCTTCTATAAGGGATTTCGAAAGTGTTTTCAAGCTTCAAAAAACATTTAAACAGTTATGCACTTGCGTTTCAACATTCTAAAATGTTGCCAGCAAAATTCGCTAATTTTTTCCATTAAATAGTTGATTACAGAAGCACAAGGCTAACTTCGCAGCTATAAAAAAAACGGTACTCTAGAAAAAAATCGCAATTTTCCAAATTGGCTAGAATGTATGTAAGTAACTTCATCCGATAATTTGTTTTTTGGGTAGTTTTATAATATTTTTTGTGTTCGCCTACCGCATGGGGATAATGAATTTCAGCTAATTCACAACAACATTGGTAACGCAGTATAGCACGACCACTCTTTCTGAAATATTACGGGCATAAGAATATGAGAAAATTAAAATGTATTAATTTCAATAATTTTCTTTTTTGCTAAAAAAAACGTAATAAATTGAAATTTTATGCATAAGTATTTTGTATAAAAAAATATTTTCAATGCTTACAAAGTATATTTATATGCATGGGTTGTATTAGAAACGGGTTAAAACTTTTTATTAGCATTAAATGTTTAAAAAATTAATTAATTTAAAAATTAGCAATTTCTTACTAAAAATATTTGTATTTAAACGTTTTTTTTTAATGAAATTTAAATGTTTTTATTTTATCTAATTCCCAACTGCTATTTAGCTTAATTATAAAAGTGTGTAATCAAAGTATTTAATCAACTAATTTTAATAATAAGTAATTTTTGATTTGGACGTCGACAAAAAATTAGCATACTAACACAAGCACAAATGAACTGATTCGATTTTTATTAAATTTGCCTGCAACAGTTGAAATTTGGTCTTACCTCAGCAAGCGCGTTATGTAGTCCGGCCAGTTTTCGGGGAACATAACTAGGAAAAAGCCAACCGCGATTAATATGACACCGGCCAATTTCATTCCGGCGAATGTGGCGCCGTACAGCACAACGTCCAGAGCTGGGGAAGACACAAAATGTATAAGAAACTTTGCGTTTAAGGCATAAAAGAGAGTAGAATTAATAGTATAAAAAAGATTACAGAAAACGAACACGGACAATGCCGTACCCACGTGAGCTTCTCGCTCATGAAGAGTTTCTCAGGGTTTTAGAGCGCTACAAAAGACGGTCCCACGACAGTCGGGTCTACGAAAACCGGAACGGACCCGGATTTTTATCCGGCCAAGGACCGTCAACTCGGCAGAATTCTGCCGTTACAACAACAACAACAACAACGGATTTGGATATCAATGAAATGCTTTATTCCCGTGAAACTACATTCGATTCTATTGTATATGGAACATGATTTTTTTTTGCATGAACTTCACGGGCACGCAAGCCAAAGTCGAGAAGCTGAATCGGTGATGCCGAGGATGGTTGTTCGATGAAAATCTGTATCATTTCAAGTTGTCAAGTGACCAAGCGGCTTCAGTTCTTGCATAAAGTTGATCTTATAAAGATGTTGGCCAACATATTTTCGCAAAATTCTCCACAACGACGTCACAGAGATGCCAACGCTTGAGAACGACGTGTGAGAGACTGATTTTGGGTCTTGATACGCTAGCGGCAGAAATATTCTCGACAATACGGGCACTTGTATGTCTCACTGGCACGGAAACATTTTGTACTGTGCCTGTGAACTCAAATTTTTCCACTAGACGCTCAATTGTTGATCTGACAGATCGATTATGACGACCAATTATTGGTCGTAGCGCTCTTAAATTTGAGGCCACTGACTCCGAATTTGATCTCTGTGATGCCTTATTCCAAGTTTCAGAATATGAGACTTATGAGCTTTAAGCAGCCTTGGAAGGAGCTGAACGGTCTTGAGAGCTCATGAGGATAGAGTTCTCGGCTACAGCGTTTCACTTTTCTTTCTATAGTTTTAAGTCTGGGAACATAAAAGCATTTATGAACATTCATAGGTTACTAAAATTCTCTTTCTGAGAATGTTTGGCCGGAAGTTGTGTAAGAGATTCTATATTAAATTGTAGAGTGCGTTGGGCTATTTAAACTTAGATACCGAAATATAAGCTGTCGATTCCTTTGAACTACCTTTTCTCCCATTTAGATTTTTCATTCTATTTGGCGCTCAATGTATAATATATTAGTGAACAAGGCTTTAGACTCAGACCAATCAATTTTAATAAATGACTCCTAAAAACCTTTTTAGTTCATGGAATTCTGTTGACCAACTTTCTCCTATCGACTTTTGAGTACCGTAATGAATCTGGAACCAATTATTTAGCTGTCTCATAAGGCTCAATTGATGCCTGCGATCAAGCTCTTTGAAAAATAACGATACGAGGGAGTTTATTGTACCTGTTGAGTGGTCATCTTCTAAATTGTCTACTTTTCATTTTCATCCAATTTTTCAACACAGTTATATGTACCCTAACCTGTGCTTACTATTTTCCTTACATCCGTGCCTTTCACTTACCTCCTGAAACTGGCACTGCTGTTATCAAACCCAACGTAACAAACATATTATAAGTGACGGCTGCGCTGAATTGCATTAGTATGTGGAAAACTGAAATATATAAAAAGATTTAATAAACCGTTTATATTGGTAACCGAAGTGCATTTACCCAATAATAAAATACTGGCGATTAATAAAATAATCCATGGCATACGATCCGGAGGCATGCTCTCATAGCCCGCCAAATAGAGGCCCACACAGACGGGCCATAACAGCAACGCATTCAGAAACCCGAGTGTGGTGAAAGCAAAAGCAATTTGACCAATCGGCGGATCGCCCATCACTTTGCGGAACATAACCTAAAAGCAAAGTATAAAGAGAGTGGTAAATAGCTTACAAAACATTTCAGCAATACTGACAAACAATTTTTTTTTTTAACAAACGAAAAAAAAGAAAACTCATGAGCAATATGCAAATGACACACGGTCGTAATACCCACCCTGAATACTGCATAACCGGCAGCGCCCAGTGTTGCCAACACAACACCGCTCAGCGTGCGACTCTCGGTAATGCCGTCCATGTAGGCCAGCAGCGCAATGCCCGTGTCGCAAAGAATAACCGCAACAATCTAGAGGAGATTAAAAAGCACTTAATTGAATTTATTTCAGTAACAATTTAATGCCATGTCGCATGGCGCTCAAGGCATACACATACCCGCACGCCCACAAATTGTTCGTGAAGAATGACCCACGACAACAGGTAAACACAAGCGACATTGGTCGCAAACAGCGCCATGGCATCGGTGGCGAAGAGTACACGCAGGGACATGGTGTACAGATAGGTGGTCACCAGCCAAAGGATGCAGAAAGAGAGACAACGGTTGAGGAAGCGACCTAAGTGGACGTTTGAGTTGAGTAACATATGTAGGCAAAAGTTTGCTTTCCTTTGGAATCTTACCGATGGTAAAACCTCGATCGCGAAAACCGCGCAACACATCGCCCAAAATTTCGCCTGGCTTGTCACATTTGCGCAACGAAACACGTCCCAGTATGTAGATGGGAAAGAAGAAAAATGAAAAATTTGTGAAAAACCAAGCGGCGAAGAAGGGCGCACGAAATACTGTCGACTCTGGCGAAATTGGCTGTGCGACATGGAACAATTTTGTAACATCCTCCACATCATCGACGCTCAATGCGTTGTCACTTATACCCAAAATATTTCTCGGATCATCGTCATCCATATTTGTGATCAAATCCAGATCGATGGCGCGATTTGATGTACTATCGAAATCATCTGCGGTAATACTGGCATAGGTGCTGCGATTCAAGTAGAGGAACTTGATGCAATGCGTGGCGCCGACCCACGACGCGGTGACGAGTATGGTGACACAAACACCAAAGTACATCTATACAGAAATGTTATATTTCAAGTTGCAAAACTGAAAGACAATTACTCACCTTTCGCGCCAGTTCGGAGCAACACGACTCCTTGCATGCTTTTAAACGACGAAATCGCACTTCGGTGCCATCTGGTCCCGCCTCCAAAGTAGGTGTATCTGGTTCATTTGTACCACCACTAGCGCCACCGGGCCCCACACCGACAATACCACTGACACCACAACTACTTACGAAACTACCGCCGCCAGCACCGAGTCCACGTCGTAAACCTGGATGTGTGCCAATCGGCGTTGACGCATCACGTGCATCGGAATGTATTGTTATAACCTCACTGGGATCCTGTTGACTCGATGATATAGAGTCTTGGTGGGCAATTTGTGGATTGCTGGCGTTGAGCGCATTACTAAACCCACCATATGGACCATTCGGAGAGTCACCGGTTACGACAACGGATGGTGTACGCACCCGTTTCGGGTTGAAAATGGCGGGTATCTCTCCGTCACGGGTCATGCTATCGATGATTCGTTGTGCACTCACAATGATAACGATACATTATTTTTTGGCTATGGGTTAGGAGTTGAGCGGCTTTTAGTTATTTGATGAATTGACGTCACGGAGACAGCTGAAAATGAAGTAGGCCCATAATAAAGGATAGTAGGAATTATGTGACACTTTTTAAAGTTGCTTTTTATAATCTTTTAGAGTTCGTAATTTAATTTACACATGCAATATAAGTTACTGAGTGGAACTTATTATGTCCAACAGTCAACCCTTGCCAATTTGAAGACTCTTTTTTTTCTGTCCCATTCTTATCTTTTATCGTTGATGACTTTGTATATGTAAAGAATTTATTTAAGGCGAAACTATCCGTGGAGTTCTCAAATTTAAAATTAAAGGGTGATCCATTTCGAGATTCCCTACTACCTTTAAGAAAAATACAGAAACTTAAAATTTAATGGTTAGTGTTTACTATCATGCTATAGAACTTTCTTGGCATTTATTTTTGAAGATTATTTCTTTTAAAGCTGCTCGCGGCTACGTCTCAGATCCATTGAGTGCAAATTTTGATGAATTGTTCGAGCATTTCGATTGGTAACCGACGAATGACACGCGTTATGTTTTGCTCCAAGGCCTGAATCGAAGCGGAATTGTCCGCATACTCATTAGACTTTAAATACCACAGGAAAAATTATCTGCTCACCGAAGTATTCTCTCAATAACTCCATTGATTGATGCGATGTTTGGGAAGTAGCACCGTCTTGTTGAAACCAAATGTCATGGGAACATAACGGTCGAATTGACGGTTACTTTCTCAAAGGAATGTTTTTTGAAGATATATGGACCGACGATTCCACTGTCCCCCAAACCACACCAAACCTTTGTTTTTTTTTTGGTTTTTTGATAAATTGACAGTTCTTGCATATATTCAGGTTGATCTTCATCTCAAATGCATTTATCTTGTATACCTACACATTGAAGCAGAAAAGGGCCTCATCACTGAACAAAATTTAGGTCGAAAGCGTCGAATCTTCTTGCAACTTTCCACTTAGGAGGCTCGAGTGGCTTAAGTTCTTGCACAAGCTTTATTTTGTACGCCTTCAATTTAGGATTTCGACGCAAAATGCGCCAAGTCGTTCCATACGTTAGTCTGATTGCTGCAAACGGCGCCGTATCGATTCATCTCGGTCTTCATGTGCATTTTCATTTACGGCTGCTATGTTTTCTCCAATGCGTTCTGGACGTGGACTATTCGGTTGAATTGTATCCAATGATGGGTCTGAAAATAGGTGATGATGTTGCACGAAGCACGCTTTACAGATCGTGAATTTTCGTAATAAAGTTGAGCTATTTGTAAAAGTTGTTTAGGCGTAAGTCTTTCAATGATGAAATGCCAAATAATACTCAACAGAAATAAAAAAGGCTATTGAAAAAAGCATCTCAACTTGGATCACCCGTTATATGTATTTTGACTTTATGAAGGTTCTTAAGCCATTCGGAGGAGATTTAAGCTTTTGGAAATCTACCAGGTATGTGGTACATACATACATATATGAAAAGCTTTTATTTCTTGAAAATTTAACAAAACCCGAACATTTTGGGATGAATATATTATAGTTAATGATATCGAACTCTGGTACCGTAACTCAGAGCGGTTTTATAAAAAGTTCTCTTTGAACCATTCTTAATGAAGCAATTTTTTTTTTTATTATTTTCAGTGCACACTTTGCTCACTCACAGAGTTTGTAAAGTAAGGTATAAATGAAACGTCTTAGCTGCTGACAAATAATATCTCTCCGACTTGTTAGAATCCCAGCAAGTATTGATGCATATGAAGGACCAAGATGTAGGTCCCGAGCTCTTTAGCTCTAATAACTCTTCCAACTATTTTTGGGTTCTTGACTTTAATTCAAGGAGGCAAAAGGCCGAAATCCAAGAAAACATAGTACAAATCTATTGTGTAAAACTAGGCTGAATACCTAACCTCAACACACTTATCATAGACAAGCATCTGGAGGCCTTACGTGTCAAAATTAATTAAAAGAAACTTAACCTCCCCATCGTCAATCGTGAAATGTTTCGTGCGTGCACGAGTGAACATGCGTGCATTGTTGGCGGTAATTCAGCGAAGCGCCAAATAGCGAACGTGCAAATGACGCTATAATTTATTCGCATTGCGATTAGGCGAAGGTTCAAGTTCCAGCTGTACCGTTATAAATATACACAAATATACACACCTACAAAAATACTAAAAACAGTCTTAGCCACACTAACCGTAATCACCGCCATGTTTGACTAACGGTCACAGGCCATGCACACTTTGGCTTCCCAGCAATCAACTTGTTGTCCAGATTACCGGATTGTACCGAGCGAAAAGTGAAATAAAGAAATAGAAATAAAAAAAAAAAACGCTTTTTAGCGGACTAAATAAAAATCCGTTAAGTGTTGCACGTCGAAATGAAGAAACGGCTAACTGTCAACTGTCAACTTGGAGGCACTTTTTTGACAAATAAGCGTAGAAACCGCTATAATGTGCCTCGCACGTGTTTATTTTAAATGTGAGTGAGTGTGAGTGTATGTGTGGAAGAGATGCAATGCGTTGAGTGCTGCGAAGGCTTAAAGAGAGGCCGAGGTTGAATTGAGGTCTACGCGACACAACCTTCAACAGTGTCAAGTACAACGACAAAACACACATACATACACAGACGCTACTGTTCAACGTCATTACAAATTTACACTCCCAAATACATATATGTACACACACACTCACACGCTCAAGCATCGTGTCGCATTATTATGCGATTTGGTTGCTTGGTCTAATGAGCGTTGTAACAAAGCAATTTCGAGGCTCTTTCGTTCTTTGCTGGTCCATGATCTGTGTGTTTGTTGTGAATTTTCGTCAACAGCTCATACGGTGAAGGTCACCGGAGGCAATGTCAGCCTAATAATGTCGTAATTTACACATTTATGATGAGAAATGTTCTGTTTGCATGTTGCTGCTGAAAATTTGCATATGTCACGTGACCTCCTCCACTCACACACCAACTTATATATGTATATACAAAATATATATATAACGGGGCGTGCTTGTAGTGGTATTTGCTGCAGCTGAGCATTCTCGGCACAAAACTCGCTCCAAAACACCTGCGAAGGCTGTGTTGCCTTAACGGTTATTATTACTCGTATAATATCCTTACACTCTTCGTTTGGACGTTTCGCATTGGCATTTGCATTTTTTATGCGCTCACAAGTGTTCGGTTCACGCAATTTCAGAAGCTTTAATTAAAATAAACCAAAGTTGTGTGTTTTAATAGCGCTTGGCGGCTGCCATGACAAAGAAGTACCAGGTTATTCAATTGGGATGAGCCGCCGTGGGGAGATTATGTCTTATTAACTCATGAAATAGTCAATGGAATCATGGATGACAGGTTAGAAGTGCAAATACAACCTGCTTTTAATCAATTATTAATTTGATGAGAATGATGTGGCACCTAAGAGCTGAGTTTCTAATCTACCGAGAGAACAATTCGCTGTCACTAAAACGTCAAACGTATTAATTTAGAGAATACCAAATGTTGGATCAGTATCGCTGCCAGTAACTCACGTTTAACTTCATATTAAATATTTTTTTTTGGTCTTGAGTCTGCTCTGAAGGCGTATGTAATATAAAAAAAACCTAAGATTTGTTTTAGGTATTGAAACTATTACATTACCTTAGTTCAGATTTTATTATTTTTTACCGAGATCATGTGAAATAAATTATTTTCCGAGCTAAAGAAGAGTTTTTGTGATATCCCTCTTACATCAGGTTCTGATATCTTATTGCGACGAAACCATAACAGAAATTTTAGTAGAACAATGAGCGATGTTAACATATTTGTTAGATAGAATGTATCTTGGCAAGCTCTTTGGAATATAATAGATATAACCTGAGAGTGTACACGAAGACCGCGGAGTGTCGATTTGGCGCCGTTCGTAGCAACTCGGCCTGACGCATGGATACCTTAAATTGAAAGCGTAGAAAATACAGCTTGTGCAAGAACCGAAGCCTCAAGACCTTCTCAAGTGCCATAGCTTCGCTTTATAGGGTCTTGGAAATTTTCAAAAAGATCCGATGTTTTTAAGCCAAATTGACCGACGTTTTCAATTGCTGACCGTCATAGTGCCATGATAGCCGACTATATGATGTCACACATATCGCATCAATCAATAGATTTATAAGGAAAACACTTTGGTAAGCAGATAATTTTACGTTTTGGATTGGCCACGAAGATCATGTGATATCACACCGTTAGATTTTTTACTGTGGGGATATGTAAAGCCTAAGGTCTATGCGGACAATTCCCCTTCGATTCAGGGCTTGGAGCAAAACATTGCGTATGTCATTCACCAGTTATCAGTCCAAATGCACGAAATGCCAAAGAATATTCTTTCGAAGCATAATCAGCATTCCCCATTAAATTTGAAGATTCTGTGATTTTTCTATAATATGTTTATTTTTGTACCCTGAACATTGTACAAGTAAGTTTGCCACGAAGTGCGCAATGCCTTGAAAGTAACGTCGGAGACCGTTTAAAATATATACATATATTTACTCGAACTAGTTCCCTACTATTGTACAAAGCTATCATGCATACTGAACGCTCAAACCTCAGCTCCCTTCAATACCATATAGTTACAATACGAACTGAAGAGGTAACAGGTATCGATTACTGAAAATAATCAAAATGTAAAGATTTGTGATAAGACAAGAATCGGGTTTGCTCTCGATAATAGTATCTATATATTTTTCTTGTGATGTAAGCATGTATTTTTAATATCACAACTTTTCTTGACAAAACTAATATCAAATGTCTATTTGAAAAGAACATAAGGTCATTGAGTTTCCGAAGGGATGAATTTGCATTATTTTGAATAATATTTTGTGCAACAACAATGCATAATTTGTAAATTAAAAACTTCTCGTAATAAATGAAAATGAGTCGTTATCGATTGTTGAAAAATTATTTCAATTATTTATTGAACATTCACCGCAATGTGGCTTACCCGTACAAAAAATAGTTAATTATTTAAAATAAAGATTTTTGAATCTACATCCAAAATAATTATTCCTTTGTACGATTT